TATTGTAAAGGTCTGTAAGCAATGTTTTCTTTTTCTACTCTACTGTATTAAGAGAGATTAATAGACATCGATAAAGTCAACTTTTCTATTGGATTTCCTTCTCCAGCTTTACTTTTTTACTGTAATACCATCTAAAATCCACAAGAGGTCGCCCCAGACTACTCAGTCTCAGTGTTGGCCTGCTCTGAGTGTAATTATCCCCCACTCTCTGGAATAATAACAGCACTAATGGCGTAATGATCTTTTCAAAGTTAAACTCAAGTGTATTTCACAAAAAGAGTCTCCGTTCCTATCAACTCAGAGAAGAACAAAGCATATTTGAACTGTTATAATTTGGTACAAGATGTTTTATTACACAGTGCCATATCTGCCATATTTTGGCTGCTACCACCACAAATTGTCCCCAGAAGCCACTCTGTGTCTCCTGCTGTGCTGGTTTGATGCAGATGTGTCCCACTGATTAAATACTACAGGCCTCGCAGGAGATGAGAGTGTGTGCTGTACAGCTTCTTTGCACTCCCACTGTGGGTTGAATATCCACGGGGAGGCCGGGACTCCTCCTTCCTTTCCCAGCCTGCTGAGCGGTGGGAACCGGGTACTGGGCAGCTCAAAATGGTTTGCTATTTATACCACTCTGCTCAATCTGAGGGCTGCTCCCTGGAGACCTGTTGCCGGCAGCTTTCCCCAAGCCGCGGAATTTAACCCTAGGACAGCTCTCCCCAGATGTGATGGAAAACATCTGGCCAGCTGCTTGACTACAATTCAGCCCCTAATGCTACTAACCCTCAGGACCCAGCCAACACCCTGTTGGTACTGCTGATAAATAACAACCTTTAAATTAATGTGAGATTTAATCATCTGATGCAATGATGTCTGGTTTTAAATATTGCCTGCAGACTGTGGGCTGCATGGAAAGTGTTACATGAAAAAAAAAAACCTGAATCATTCTCCTCCCTTCATTTAATATTGATTTAGAGTCAGGAGTTTCCTCCACAGCGAGATGTGGATGACTTGCAGAAATAAAGGCACCCCTTTAATAAATGAACACTGGTATATATAACAAAATAACAATGCAAAGAAGTCCACCAACTCACAGAACAACATTTATTTATTTATTACTGATTTTGATTTAATTTAAAAAAAGATAACTTGCAAATGTTACATTGACTTCTACTGAAACAGTCCCATGTTGTATGTCTCAGCACAGGTTAACATTAGGCACACAAGAATGCAGACGCCATTTTGCAGCTCTAGCCATTGTTCAAATACGAGACAAAGACGAGAGCGAGAGGGAGAAAGGGGAGACGTCGCCTTAGCGAAGCTGCGTGGAAACAGTGCGGAGCCGAAGAACGGACACGTCAAAACTGGCTCAAACGTTCCCACGCGAGGGACCACAACGAGTGATTTCTCAAGTCCCTGTGTCGTGTGTGTGTGTGTGTGTCATTAAAAACATACAAAGAACATACAACCCAAGATACTCTGGATTACAAATCTAATTACTAGACCAAGTTTGGCTGGTTGACTTAGAAACCAACAATACAAAACTCACAACCAGTACATCCAAAATACAGATGATTATAATCAACATACCTGAAAATATAGCACTCCTGCCTCTTTGATACTCATATTTGGCTTGTGTGTAAATATATGCGTACCAGTTTGTGTTTCTTGCAATGTGAGCGTACGAGAAGGTTGTAGAAGTTTAAACCGGTTGATTTTTTTTTTAAACGATACAGCAAGAATCAATGGTCACGTGCACGTCGTTTTTGGTCTTGAAAAGACACATCAGGGTGGATCAAGCACGACAACAAGTCAAGCTGCAGTGGCGAGAATAAAACAACAAAAAACAGCCGTTTCACAAACACAGCAATTAATATAAGGATACTAAAGAAACCCTTTGTCCATGCCAGGGCTACGACCATAAGAGCCTATGTACAGCTATGGTACAGTGAGGGCGACTGCTATGGGTTCTCACTATGGTTTCTTTGAGAATAATCGAGAAAAAGCGTTTAATTTATTGCACACAAAAAATAGTATCAAGGGTTTCATTTTCCACTGGATGTCTGTACTGTGCTTTTTCAGCATCTTTAATTAAATCCCTCATAAAGTGAGCAGATGTTCTTTGAGTCATACGTGACATTCGAAGTGTAAAGGATATGAAATCAGTTTGAAATCACTCTGCAGGTGAAATGAAGCTTCATCACAAACTGTGCTGTGCTTGTAGAGGGAATGGAGATCGATCACATGTGCAGTGCAATCAAAAAACCCACCATAGCTTGATCAGCCCCATATTCAATTGTTTTTGGCCTTGATTTTATCAATAATGGGGTCAATCACCTATGTGGTTTGTATTTGCACACCGACACGTGACAAGTCATGGGAACTGTTCAATGGCACGTAGGAATTATAGATACAAAAAAGTGGTTTTACAATAATCGAGCAAATTACATCTGACTTCTCAACTTCCCACTGTGCTATTTTGTTTGTCAGAGAGAAAATATATATAGAAAATAATACATCAATACAATCAAATTCACTTTCAGCTCATCCTCTTTTGGTTACACCGAGGTGAAAACAAGTGCAGTATTTTACTTTCATCAGAGAAGCTAACTCTAAAACAGGCCGAGCCGCACGAGTTCCCGGCTCGTCTCGAATTTCAAGCCACGCGCTTAAAGAACGGATGAAAAGATCTTATGATGACATTTTCTCTGAAGACTGACTCACCATACAGGCAGAACAATCATCCACATCACCACTGGTACACAGAAGTCTCTTGAGCCCCACCAAGATCTTTTTTTTTTTTTTTCTCATCCATCTTCAACTCTCGACCCCAGTTTTACAAAAACACACCGGTGAAACATTTTTACCAAATTTCTGTGGCATGCAACCCAGATACAGGCTTTCTTTGCCTAAAAAAGTGGCACATGATTACAGCGAAAGTGGTGCCATAGTAAATCTGATAAGAAGAGACTGAAGGAAAAGCAACAACACAACAAGCCAAATAACTGCACTGTCATATTTTTGGGGGCTCGGGGTGGGCGACGGGGTGATGGTTCTCAGGACCAGACTTTTGGAGTGGGTGGTGGTTCTGCGTTTTATCCCCCCCCCCTCAATCTGAGCCCTCGAGAGCAGCACTGGAAGCAGAGAGGAGGTGGATGATGGGGTGGGGGGCTGCACTATGCCGTTGTGGGCACCGACACCTCCAGCAGGCGGTTGTTCTTGCGCTTGCAGGACACGCTGTTGCCGTTCTTGGGGACTCCCTGGATGAACTTCACGCACACTTTGTCGTGCTTGAACTGCACCAGGAACCTGTGGGACAGACAGATTACAGCATCATTACACACGAGCCAGACAGACGACTAATCACATCCTTGGACGTGCTCCCTTACTCGTCTGAGATGTCGATGTCCAGCTGCTCCCGGTCCGCGGCCGTGGTGCCCATGCGGTGCATTTTGGTGATGATCTCGATCAGGTGCTCGCTGCTGAGTAAGAAATCGCCTTTGACAGCTGAGGCTGAGCCCTAAAGTAAAATAACACAATTACAGTTATCATGAGCTCGATGTCATGTAATCATCCATCTATCCATCTATCCATCTATTCTACTACTTCCAGAAATCTCTGTCTCTCCGTCTGTGACTCGCATATCTCGAGAACCCTTTATCTTGGCATGTGTATTGTTAAGGGTCAAATGAGTATAGTGTTGAAATTGGTGACACATTACACATTCAGTATTAATAAACTTTGTATAAAAAGGTGACCAGCGCTCTTTAGCAGCGGTGGCTGGGCTTAATCGGTGTAAGTGGCGTTCATTAGTTTCACTGAACTTTGAATAAACAGGTGAACAGCTCTTTGTGCAGCAGCAGAAGTGCGGCTTCACTGTTCTGTTCAGTCCTGCAGCTGGTCAGTTCATTCCAAACAGACATTTTATTTTGTCAATATTATCGCCTTATACGAACATTTGCTCGTTGTATTTTCTACATACTCTATATTCATATACTCTATATTCATTAACAACCTTCTTTGTTTTGTAATTTTACCTTTCAATGAGTGCGTGTGTACGCTGTGTGTCTGTGTGTGGTTTTTGTCAATCAGGTGCCTAGGGTTTGGTTAACAGGAAATGCTTAACTCCTGTAAAATGTTTACTTCTTGTGTTGCTCAAGTTCAATAAAAAGCTAAAAGCACTGGACAAAAAATGTTGGAGTCAGCACTAACTGAGGTGAGAGATTTCCCATGAGCATTTAACCCAACAGTACAATTTCATTTAGGCAAATGGAGCAAATCTATTTCAGTTAGTGGAAGCTAGATCACTGCAGGCTCCACTTCCACCCTGTACAGAAATGTAGTCTAACTACTTGGTTTGGCATCCATACATATTCAAAATAACCTCACAGCTCTCCTGCACAAGTGAACAATGTTTAACTGCAGGATTCAAAGGAAAAGTTAAATAATTAAGGGACATTCTTATTTGCTTTCTTGCAGAGAGTTGGATGAGAAAATCAAGATCACAAGAATGTGGATTGAACAAACCAAAATAGAAGGGAATCATGATTCTGCTCGAACAATTTTTTCGCTTACCTCTTTGAGTTTGAGAGCAAAGAAGCCGTCACTCTGTGTGCTGACCGACACACTAGTGAGGTCTGGCAGAGGGACGCTGGCCTTCACCTGGCCCGTCTTCTGGTCAGCCAGGACCACGCTGTTCTTAGTCAGCAGGAAGATCCGAGCTGTTCCCTGAAAGTCACAGAAGAAATGAGACACAATGAATGTGTTTGCATTAACAGCAATATTACGTTTATTGACCTTATTCATAAGATATTATTCAATTAGCAAATCATGTAAACAACATTATTCAATTGATATTCTCGTTTACAAGTAGAATCTGAATTTAACTCACTTCAATATTAAATTCATCAAGCATCAACATCAAGCAGTTGGAAACTGTCGCATGTCGATGCCGCACAATACAAGATGTTATGATGTGATAATACATGTGGACATAATGAGAATGTCAGAATAATCACCATTTCTTAGTTTGATGAACTTATTTGGGTTAATCAGAAAATGCTGTTTTCATGGCAGAGTCTTATTCATACTTCAGTCTTAGTCAGGTTATAATAAGAATATAGGTGTCGATTTAAACGTGTCTTACGTCATTCTAATATTGTGCAATGTGTCAAAATTATGACATTGGCAGATGCAGACGGTGAAAACAGGTTTTGAAGTGTATTTTGTTGCTGCTGTGTCTCATGATGTGGGTCTGGGTAAAGTGTAACACACTGTGAACTTGTGCGGACACGTCTGCTACCTGCTGGAACAACACTAGTGCAGGTTGTTAAACTGTCAGACAGCAGGTTGCTGCACAGTGTGATGAAATATAAAAAAACACAACATTTTTTTACCGTACTAGACCTGTGTGGATCAGGCCACAATGTAATAAAATAGATATTATTTGGACTTTGCAGCTCTTGAACAAGGTGAAAGGACGGTGAAGTGGTCTTTCTAACCTTGCCATTTGCTCTGTTGATCTTGTTAACCACATCCGCCAGCAGAACCTTCTCCTCCATCGCACTGCTGAGTTTCTGGTACTTGGGGTTCTTGCTGATCTCCAGGTAGTCTCCTTTGAAGGGCTGACTCACACTGAGACACAACACAAAGACACAGTTGTTCCCCACGTGTGGCACGCAAGACGTCTGATGCTTTTGCCGCGGAATTAGAGATTCACTAATCTACTTATCTATCAAAAGGAACAAATGTCAAGAGATATTCTTTTTATACAGCGTGAAATAAACAGCACTTTTCTCCAGTGAGTATTGGGTACCTGCTCGGGTAGAGAGCCTTTTTATCCTTGAAGATCTCACTTGCCTCCAGCTTCTCTTCATACACAGCTTTCTTCTCCTCTGTGAACTGGCTCCTGTATTTCTTGCACTGAACACACAAACACAAGAGACGTTAAATCAAGAGACTCTTGCTAAATAAAAACAACAACAAAACAATATAGCAACATTTATGTCTTTGCTCCCATGTCTCATGAGTTAAATTAAAAAGATCGTAGCTGTCTTTTTGTATCAGTTCTGGTAGAACCAACACAAAAGGCTTTTGTCTCTCAAGTTCTGTTCACAAATGTGTCTAAATCTGAGTTACTGAACACGTCTCCTTTGCCAAGATTGTCCATCCACCTGACAGATGTGGTGTATCCAGATGCTGGTCACGCAGCAGGATGTTTGCACATGGGCTGGTCAAGGAAGGTGAAATTAAGAGGTGAAATTTTGTCAAATGTCACAAAGTCACAAGTGTCGTTAGCCATGAGGGCGGGTGCAGTGTGAATGCTGATTGGAAAAATGTCTGCAGAATTGCATGTCCATCGTTCAAACATCAGTTTGTTGAGGGAAGTGTTTCCAAGAGTTTGGCAGCACCACAAACGTTTTTCATTCCCAATGACCACGCATCACCACGACAACCCAAAATCCATGCCAGAAACCTGGGGCCTGTACTACAAAGCAAGATTTGCAGTTATCGGGGGAACTTCAGGTTCACTTCTTATCTGGGTAAATCACCATGGTAACTTATGCTGCACGGCTAACCTGCAGCAGGTTAAGTTGGAGAAAAGAGCTCAACTAGTATAAAAGCACTTTGAAACATGACTTCACCGTTCTTAGAGGATCCTGTGGAGCTCGGTGTGGATTATCAGAGGGTCTCTGAGGAGGGCAAGGGTCTTCAGTGAGCAAATCCCTTAAAATCCTTCCACCTACTCTGATAAGTATCTTTATGAAAAATATTGATTTTCATAGGAGGAAATAATAAACCTTTTTAGCTGCAGAAGCAACCGATGTGCTCACAGTACCGCAGACTGTCTGCATTGTCCTATGTTTCTTTTCTTCTGGGGGTTACTTACTCACTGTGGGTGATGCAGAGTAGCTCAGAAAAAACACTGTACACAATGTACATTATACATTTTGCATGTAATAGTAACGTTTTTTGTTCATTCAAAGCTGAAATAACTATAAAGTTTCTGAGATTGTGGTCTCTAATACTTAAAAATATCTTAAATGTTACACTTTCGCTCAGGCTATTATTCATTTAGCTCTGTATTGCATGTCCAATAATTCATATTTCTTTGTTGCTATTGTATTCACTCTTATTCACTTATACTCTAATCTGACACTTATCAATAATTTACAGTTGTCTTGTGGCTCCAATTTAAAGCTGTTGTGTCATCATCGTCATGAAATGACAGAAAACTGAAATGCAATAGAAATGATTGGATCTGGATTTTTAAGACTGACCCTCCAAAGATGGAAGATTCTCCGGAGCTCTGTGTGGACTCCATCCAGGAAGAGATAAGGTCTTGCAGGCCATTTCTTGTCTATGGGTGACATGGAGGGCAAGTTGCTCTTCAGACCCAGGAAGTACTTTTGCATCTGGACAAATGGAAACAAACGAGAATTGTAAGGCAAGGATATTCTCGTTAACTTGTGACAGTGTGGACTAAGCTTAAATAATTGTATAATTATAATAATTACGTACAATTCTCTGGATGGTGAAGTCATAGATCTTCTTGCCTGCATTCGCCCTGAAGAATTTTCTGTATTCTCTGCGGATCTGTTAGAGCAGAAAAAGTTAAAAACAAATAAACTTTCAGTCACTTATTTCCACCAGTTAGTTTGATGTGAAGCGGGGAAGAGTAAGACAACAGTGACAGGAGGATGGCAGTACAGACAAAATAACAGACATCTGGTTAGTCACAAACGATGAACAACTGAAACAGACAAAGTAAACTCCGAGCTGTTGGAATTAACAACAAAGGAATTGCTGAAAAGTCAATGATGGTTATGAAACAGACCTTCATGCTGACCTTAACTGTACATATGGAGATGTAAACAGGTGCATTGTGCATGATGAGGTGCAATTAACATGATGAAAAGATTAAAGCTGCAACAATGACAAGTGATGAAACCGAACTGAACACATAACAGATAATCTCCAAAATGAGGACACACACACACCTGAAGTCAGAGAAAGAACAGGTGGGACAAAAACGGTTAGACAAAACAGTGCTGCTGTGAATGGGGTTAGTTTCACAGATACAGAAGAAGCAGACTGAGAAAGATGTTGAGAAGAGACACACACACAGTGTCTGCCACGTCTGTCAGGCTCTGTTGGTTTAAATTTTTAGCATTAAAAACCAAAGTTAGCTCGTCACATCTTTGCTATTTCCTACCAGAGAAATTGTTCCGATGAAAACTGCCGCTTTGAAGGCTGTGGATTATTTTGAGAAACCAGGGCTTGGTTTCAGTTTTTCAAAATAGGAGTTTTCCCAGTGATTTAAGCATCTCAATGAAAATTCTATTCACGTTCTCGTCACAGAGTGTCAGCAGAAGACTCAAATAAAACAATTTCTTCATGTCTGGAAACCACTGGGGTAACAGTAAATGTTTGTTTTCTGATTTGGGTGAACCTCTCCTTCAGGAGGAGATCACAGTTAATGTGGGTGACAAGGGGATAAATGATGAAGGATTGCAAATCCTAGGAGTCGCAAGAGGACTACACAAACGGAATTGAGGGGGAAACGTGAAAAAATCACTGCTGTGGTCGTATAGAAGTCACTGAAATCAGGTATTTCAAAGCCAGTTGGTGTATTACAGTTTTGATGGTGGAAATATTACGCTAGTTTGCAATTTAATCTTATTTAATACATCAGCTAATTACCACCTGATTACTCATGTCCTTATGGGCTTAACCCTTTAAAACCATGGCAGGATAATGAACTGAGTGGGATCACAACACTTGGCAGAGAGTGGCTTCCTAAAGACCAGCACAAAGAAGGATGGGATAAGATGAGGAGGAGTTGAGTCAGGGGTGATGAGTAGGTGGCAGACTTGGTGAGGAGCTGTGCCGCCGGGGGCTGGTAGGTACCTTGAGTCCCTGCCAGTAGGCCCAAATCACAGCGACGGCGTGCTTACGCCGGGCCTCTTCCTTCAGTCTCCGCAGCTCCCTGCGAGCCTGTTCAGGGGGTGGGCGGGAGGAGAAACAGAGCGGGAACAAATGAAGCCAAGAGACAATAGAAGAAGGAGAGAGAGATACTGTTTTGCCTCAGGTCAGCACGCATCAAATACACAAACACACTCATACACACTACACACGAGCCCTGTGTGACCATGAAGAGACTGTAAAAGTACAGCTCTACTGCTCCAGCATCCAGAATAGGAATATGGCTCTGTAGGTCAAATCAACTGTTATCAGGGGAACTTCTGGAAGGGAAACAGAGTTGGGGCTTCAAAAAGGTGAAGAGCAAAAGTCACAGCTCAGGCAGCAGAGGTCACCTCTAACAATCCAAACAGATCCATCTAAAAGACAAACAGCACTGCAAGGCAAAGGGTAAACATGCAGCAGCTACACAAGATAGAAGAAGTCATGCAGGAGGAGCAGGGGGCGTGCAGTGACATCTGTCCTCGTTGTGTGTGTGTGTGTGTGTGTGAGTGTGCGACTGCGTCTCCCATGGGATGGCGTCGCCCACGTAACAGTGAGTCACTAACTAGTATTTACATACGGAAAATTACAATTTTGCAGACAGAGCTGCAAAGACAGTATTTGAGAATAACACCAAGTTAGCAAGAGGACTTTTTTAACTCCCACATCCAGGGGACAACAGCTTGTGTGCGTGTGTGGTGTATGGTGGTAAACTGCCTTACATATGTACTCAATGTAAATGAAAATGCAAATGATGAAGTTTTCTGGGTAGAATGGGGAGTTGGTAATGGGTTGACGTAGGCAGCAAGTCACGGAGTCACGGGAAGTTAAAAAAAAAAAATCGGCAGGCTTCCAAAATACCTTGGTGCCCTGCCAGCCGGCCCAAATGACCGACACAGCGTGTTTATTCCTCGCCTCCTCCTTCAGTTGACGCAGCTCTCTCCGGGCCTGATGAAAAGCAGTGGCAGTTGTGGAGGAGGTTAATTTCAGTGACAGTCAGAGCTGAAATTGTCTCAGGAGAGGCAATGAGTGTTTGAGCAACACTGACGAAAGACAACAGAGTACGTCGAGAGACGAGACAATCGGCGGGCAACGTCAACATGCGTGAAAACAATGAGCGATGTTCATGTCATGTGACTAATTAAAATGGAGCCATGGTACCACAATGGGAGAGTCTCCTCTGTGTTATCTGTAGCTTCGATAAGAGGCTGTCATGTTCCCCAGGAACAAAGTTCACATACAAGACAGAATAATCTTTAACAGCGTATTAGGAGTCAGAATGGATCATTATCAACAGGCAATGAGACCTTGAAATAAATGATTGATTATTAACAACTAAGAATATCTGAGGTGAGTATGATAAATACTGATAAGATAATGGTACGTCACGCAGACTTTAAAATCTGCACAGTGGCTGTGATTATACCCACTGAGGCTTTTTAAGTGTCATCATACTGAAATTATTGGATGTTTATGTGTAAGAGCTTCCTGCTGTTTCTCTGTCGGCACATCAGTATATTAAAATTAGGCTTCACAGCATGAGCTTGAATAAAAAAGCTCAGTGAAAGATCGTGGGTGGTGGGCACTGTATGGCTGAATTAATTATTAGATTGCATGAAAACACCAGACTGGATAGATACCAAACCAAAACTGAATTTTAAACACAAGCTACTTTTTAGGATCTGAGTGTGACTATTAAAAAAAGATATATTTGGTGTTTATTTGTCCAGAAATCAGTTTTCTTATCTGAAATATTAAAACAACAAGAACCAAAACATGTCCAGACAATCCTACATGTAACAGGGACAAAATAGAAGAGGACAAACAACAATAAGGCACATTAATCAGGCCATTGGACATCAGAAGGACTGGGTTCCACTCAGAGCGGCTGCTGCTGCTCTATTAACTGAAAATGGGATGGGATGGGATGCGGTGAATGGGAGGGGGGTGACAAGACAGCTGGGACAGCGACACACTATGGCTGGTCGGAAATACCTTGGTTCCCTGCCAGTATGCCCAAATAACTGTCACGGCATGTTTATTCCGCACTTCTTGTTTTAGACGCCTCAGCTCCATCCGAGCCTGGTGGGATGTGATGGGCGTTAGGTAAGGATGTGAGAAGGAAAATAATCATCAAAAGGGAGGTGACAGAGAATTGGGAGGGAGGGGAAAGAAAAAAAGAGAAGTTGCAGTTTGTGTGATCAGAAAGAGAAGCAGGATTAAAGGGAAACAGCAGCAATGATATCAAGAAGAGCTTTGTTAAAGAATAGATTTTTTTTGTAACACTGTGAGGCCATTAGGCAGGGACTGCATATGATGAAAAACAAGAGCTGAAGGCAAAACTGTTAAGTTCTCCAGAGTAGCCTTTTTCAACATGGATAAAAAGTCGGCATCAAACCCTGGCTGGTTTTTGTTGAGGTAAACACCTCACCCTCTGATATCCCTCTGCACTTCAATGCATCAGTACCTGGGTGCCGTGCCAGTATGCTGAGATGGTGGTCACTGCCTCTTCACATCTCTTCTGATATTTCAGCTCTCTCAGGAGTTTGCGGGCCTGGTGGAAAAATAACAAGCAAGCAAGCAGACCGTTTAATGTTTCTGTTGTAGTTTCTGCATTGCTCTCTGCCTCAATTTAGTCTAAACAGCGGGTTCAATGGAAGGTGCACACCTGCCATCCTCGGGTGTAGGACTGCACCACTGTGGTGGCGCTCTTGATCCTCTGGTACTTTTTTTGTTGCTGTTGGATGGAAAAGGAGAAGATTTAAAAACACCTAATGCATCAAAGCCAATCTGTTCATTTTGCTTTGTGTATGGATTTCTTTGATTCCTCAGCGAGGGACTCACCGCGTATCGGCGGTACCACGCTGCCACCACTATCTGACTCTTTTTCAGCAGCAGGAAGTGGCTGCGGCACTTCCAGCCACGGTAGATCTTCTGAATGAGCGTGGCCAGGTCTTGCAGACATTGCCTCCTCCTCTCCTCCAAGAAGAAGAGCTGCAGGAAGAGAGAAGAATTGAACTGAAGTAAACAGAGACAACAGAAACAACTTATACAATGTGTGTGTCTATTGGATTTATTTGAGAAGGTGTATAATCTTTTTCAACATAGTTATAGATCAATAAAAACACATTTTATCAAAGCGAATAGTGATTCAGTGATATCAGGACCAAAGTACAGTCCTTCCACAGGTTTACTGCTCAGGCCTTAAGTAATACAATAAAAAAATGACCTGTGTGAAACGACTTCAGGTCATCAGTGATGTACAAGCAACATTTTAATGTCCCTGTAAAGGGAGTGCACCATTCATTCATCTTCAGACTACTGGGTGTTTTAATGTAACTCACTCAGAATTGCATTTAATGGCTCCATACCAACAATTTCACAAACCTATGTAACAATCAAGCTCGAGGTGTGGCTCCGTTTAATATTTTCTAGAAACTTTGATCACGACCTGCTGAACTACACTCTATACCCGAGTGATTACACAGCTGCAGATATATGAGGGAGATAAGTTGATCAGATAGAAAAAGCGATTATAGGAGAAAATAAAAATTCCCGTAGTGTGAGATCATGTTATTCCAAGCTTTGTTTGGTCAAAGCTGGGTTGGGGGGATGTGGGGGAACTCTATTCAAATGGCTGCAGGCTCGAACAGTCGAGGAGCCTGCAAGCGCAGAGCAAAGACGTTCATTTCCCATGTTAGATGGGACGGCTAAGTGAAACCATGTGTTTGCAGAGCGGTGGTTGGATGCTAATTGCCAGAGTGGGGGCTCCGAGCGCAACCCACCCTGCTTTACAAACTTCTTACTGTGAGAAAAGCACGGCGCTGAGCACGGTGGAGGACAAAGCAGATGACAACGCTGGCAGGAATAAAGACATTTAAGGGGCACAAGTTAAAAGTGCATAAATGTGTGTTTTGTACCGTTCTTGGGTTCCTGATGAAGATCTTGGAGCGGCCATAGGAGAACTCTTCTGCAGGAACCGGGAGTTCGCTCATCAGCACCTCCACTCCTTCCCTATGGAAAGCCAGAAGAATCATCCAAAACTAAATTCACACTTCAAACAACATGAGCACAACTTAAAAGCAGCATCGAGGGGATGTGGACACATCGGGAAAAGGAGGAGGATAGAGAGAGGATTGCTCCAGTTAGAGGGAGAAGGAGTGATTAAAGGAGAATGAAACATATCACACGAAGCACTGAGGAGGAAAGCTGAACAACAAGATAGTGATGTGTGGCAGAGCAGATAAGAATCAGTGCTTTTGCCAGCACAGTGGATGAAAACATGCAACTCTGGCTGGTGTGGAACGGAGGAGACAGATAAGTTCAAAACGTCTCAACATGTTGTGGTTCAGTGAGGGAATGGCTCATTTCTTCCCGACAGTGAGCAACTAGTACGTGACAAGATGGCAGATAGTGGATGGTAATAAAAGTGCACAACCATCAGTAATTATAAAGGACGTTTAAGTCTCGAGTTCACATTTAGAAAACTTTCAATAAGCTTGTAGACATATTCCACTCTGTTGGGTAAAGTGTTATTAAATTCAGCTTACAGTATTATTTCCCTCTTTTGAGCCTTTAATCCAGTGAAAGTCATCCGAGCCTTTTTCCAGCACTAACCTGCTTCACATTCTCACAGCTCCACAGTCACACCTGCCAACTGACCACTCCAACTACAATCTATTACCACTGGTCACAGTCACTCCACTGGGAGCAGTCTGAGGCTCAGTTCCTTAGTTAAAAACCTCTCTGAGCATTTCTCAGTTCACACATACCTTGGAGCGATTTATTCCGGCAGGTGTCCAGCAACAACCCCCCCCTTTCTTTAGTCCCCCTGCCCCCCTATTAGTCTCTGCTTTGGAAGAAACGACTGTTACCTGGCGGGTCCTCGCCAATGGGGCCAGGTGCGTTTGCAGAGCATTTTGTAGCGCTCCAGGCAAGGCTCGTAGGGCTGGCGGAAGGCGTAGCCCGCTCTCCTGACGCGGACGTTCTCCATCAGGCCCAGGTAGCGCAGCTGATGGCGCACCAGAGAGTCGGTGAAGATGTGGGATGCTTTCTTGTCGTTGGGCTTGATGCATCTTTGGAAGCAAGAAGAGAGGTTGTTAAAACTACAGCTGGAATAATGTAAGGAGCAGATATCACCCTATTAGAAAAATCTGATATGGACTTTACATTTTTGAAGGCTGTGATATGAGGAATTAAAATCCACCCATCCATCGACCTACCCATCCATCCATCCATCCATCCCTTTAACCAAATAGGTTTGGGAGATTTTGTTTTATTCTAGACAACATTAGAAGCAGCTGTTCCAAGACTTTTATCAGAATGTTCAAATGGCCCAAAAATGATATGCCAATATGCCAAGATATCAAGCCATTATCTGTAACAAGTAACCACTGATATCTTCTGTATAAAAGACAGTTACCGTATGTAGTTTGGGTTTTTGGTCTGCAGGTTCCTCATCAGCGTGCCCACTGATGCTTTGAACTGGAACCCAGCAGTCGGTGGTCTCTTCAGGTTGACTTTGGCAGGGTTGCCCTCAGGAAACAGCTGTTTGATGAGGCTGTGGTTAGCCTTGTACATGGCCTGTGAGAGGTCTCGGTATAACAAGTCATTGTTCTTGTCCACAAATCCCTCGACACGGTACAGCACCTTGATAAAAAAGAAGAAACACGGGTGAAGAAAAAGCGTTTTCAGAAATTCTTTTTCAGCACTTCAACACACATCTTGTAGATTTTATCTGCACTTCTTGTTGTTCTGTGCGCAGAATAATCTATAGTACCTTGCCGGCATAGTGCTGGATCCGGAAGCAACTGTGAGGCAGGCTGTGGTCCGAGAGAAACATTGAATTCTTGCTGAGACGACTCTCAAAGTGTTGGTGCTCAGCACAGATGGTGTTCAGCTTGTCCAGGAACGTCTCGTCTGTGACCGTCCCAGGCCTCAGGCACTCCTCATCCAACATGGCCAAGATGCCGTTTTTGTTCTGACCATCACAACATGAGTCAACATGAGAAGAGGTAGAGGTTCATGGATATAAGATGTTAAATAACAAAACTTAAAACCATCTAGTGATGTTTATTTCTTCTTATTATGTCAGGTTACAATATAAATGCATGTTGAGCTGGTTCGTGTGGTCTCTGAGGAGGAGGAGATGGACTTACATTCTCAATGAGGTCGCAGATAATAGCATTGTTGAAATACTCAATATTGGTCCACTCGATGTCCTGCAACAGACAATTTAAGATAAAGCAAGAAATATTTTGTGAGATTGACAAATCATGGAGCACTCGATCAAATAAAATTATGATCAATGCTGATACCACCATGGCTCTATCTGTAGTTTTCACAGTAGACATCTACTCATAGTTTTGTTCGGTTAAACACTCAGAACTCGGTCATGATGTTGCGGTCAGTGTTGATATTTTGCCGATAGCCACAAACAAATCATTATATGGGCACAGATAAGAGTGAAAATGGTTTCAGGGTCAGAAGATGTCAGTTGAGTAGGATGTCCTTCATATGTTGCCCAGGACGGATTTGCGTTCACACACGTTTTCCCAGACCACCTACAAAAGTGGTTTGGCGTGATCAGATACTTAGAGCTGTCAACTTGTGAACAGATCACAAAAACCACATGTTAATACCAGATGTGTGTTTTGTACGTGTACAACACCACTTTTTCATAGTCAGATATTTGTTCGTTTTTTTCTTTTGTGTCCGTCACATGTTAGAAACATCATCAACACACCAACTCACTTGTTTTTTTTCCTACTTTATTCTCACATGGTCTCACTTTGACATTTACCGGAGAGGGAAATATGTGATAAGGAAAATGTCTGGAGCAACTGACTCAAACATTTGCATTCTGGAAATTTTCCAGAGTTCTCTGAATGTCTGGAAGCAGCTCTGCAGTAAGGGGCTCTTCACAAAACTCTTTCAAATCTGCAGTGTTTTATCTCAATAAAATAAAAAGGTCTGGACAACTGAGGAGAGTTCTACTTCCTGCATCTCCAGAGTGTCTCTCTAACCCCCAAACCTTAAATTTCACTTTGTCATAAACTGAGGTTAACTACTTGTAGACACAGACTGTAACACTTAATATTTACAAGGAGGACGTTAGGCCTAATGGGAACAGGTCCTGGGGAGAAAAAAGAAATGGGCAGCGCCCTTTTAAAGTTACAGTCCTTCCCCCTTATTTAAGCATTCTTTAATATTTTTAGTGCAGTCGTTAAACATTATTCAATCAGTCTAAAATGTCCATACATCTTTCTTTATAACCATATTTTTCCTTGCCGGTTTGATACTAATACCAAGAAGATCTCTCCTGCTCCGTCTCCACCTCAGCCTTCTAATCGTCTGAGTAAGAAAAGAGCACAAAGCCTTTCTGATGGGACAGAAAAACATTTTCCATCTTGCCCTGTCAAAAAGGCCACTGGCCCTTGAAAAACCCACTTGGCCGACATCTAATTCACAGCTCCTAATGGGTTGGGAACATAGCTCCGGTTGATGTAAGCAATGTGACAGATATTTAGAGGAGGGAGGGAGCAAAAGAAGGTGTGGCTAAAAATGATGGGTGACTGGCTGAATTCCTGATTGGTGGACCTCCCCACTTTTTCCAGTGCTTTGGTATTTTCCCATGCAATATACTGGACAGAACCCAGGAGTGGAATATCATTGGTGGTGGTGGTGCTGCTGGGGGAAGGAGTTTGTGGAGGGAAGGGGGGTCAGCGCTCACATCCGTAGAGCTTTGAAAACAAACAGAGCTTAAAGGCCCACAGCAGGGAGTGTTTACTCTCACCGGAGTGAGGGATCACTTCCTTCCCAGAGTCCGCCGAGGGGAGACGGGGAGAGAATAATCGGAGAGGGTGACGGACGATGGAGACATAAATGAAGCAGTTAATGCATCTTGGTCAAGGGCAAGAATGCAGATTGAGCTGAAATAGCACATGAGGTTTAAGAGATGAGTGACGTGACCAGGTTGAGAAGTTGGGGGGGCGAACGAACAAATTGGCTGCTGACATGTTGAACAATGTAAATGTACAGCTGCAGGTGAGAGAGGGCTACCAGGGCCACTGGCTGGGCTTAAAAGGCCATTTATCCAAGTTAGTGTGTGAGTGTGTGTGTGTGTGTGTATAAACTTGCCTCTCTGATGTACTCTTCCTGCTCCTCACGCAGGGTCAGCTCAATGAAGATCTGCTGCAGCTTCTCGTTGCAGTAGTTGATGATGAACTGCTCAAAGCTGTTGTCCTGTAGAAGCATTAACAGGTAAAATATTAATACCTCCAGATATTTATTCAAATGCTGAATCCTATCAATTAAAGGGTCAGTATAGCAAAAAAAGAAAAAACAAATCTGCAATTTTCCACTTGAACTCTAAACCTTTTCCTCAATCATTTTCATTTCTGACATATTCTGCTTGAATATAAATAATTTTCAGAATTCAAAATTAGTATCAGATCCAGAGCAGGAATGAAGTTTAGTCTAAGAACTAAAAATTACCCCAAAATTACCCCTTTTCCACCAGGGCAGCTCAAGGGCCAGTTTGGAGCTGGTGCCTAATTTGACTCTTGTCTCGAAGGAATACTTGCTTATGTCAGGGGCTGGGGGCGGGATTATCGTGACCCACAAAATACTGTGATCACCATTTAAAAAAAAACAGCAGAGATGCGTCCTGTGTAGTCGGCAAAGAAGATTGAAGATTTTTACTCTGGATGCCAAAGCAATTCAAAGACCTTGTCTCCTTGTTCTTGCTGTGGTCCACCATAGGGAAATCAGAGACGTATAGAGAGACACATACAGTGATGTAATAATGGGACTCTGTGGTGGTTCTAGCCCATGGAAAAGCAAACTGGTTCCCAAGTTGAACCAACTTCAAACCAGCCCAATTTACAGCACAACAGGTTGACCTTGGGGGAAAAGGCGACAATGATCCAGTTGTCACTGGGAATTTATTTGACTGTGAATTAGTGTAATAAAATGCCATCATCAACACATCCTCTCTCACAGGATCTACACTACGCAGTAAAAAATACCATGCATCTGAAAGGTTACCAGCAATAATCATCTTGAACAATCTGTAACCTGCAGTTCAAACTTTCCACTTAATGATTGATGATCAAAACTTTCATCAACCTGGGGCCGTGAACAACTGATAACTATTGCACTTGTACCTTTTGATGATAAACCCTTATCTGAAAAGGTTCCTGTAAATTGTCATTGACTTCATTAAACATTGACGACATCAGAATTTTTTTTACTTCCTGAATTTCCCAGTTATTATTGTTGTCAGTTAAGAGCATCAAGCAGTGAGTCAGGCTTATTGGCAGACGGCCTTGTTGTGTGGGTTAGTTTGAAACTGATCTTTCTGAAGACAACGGCGGTTAGAGGAGCATGTTTAGTTTTAAATTCAGTAAAGAACACAGCAAGGTTTCTCAGTGACCAGGATTATGTAAAACAGCGACATGGAGACCGGTTAAGACTCCATTTCCTTTTACTGAGAAACCGAAAGGTCGTATTCACCATGTATACACACGCACACACACACACAAGCATGTTTACACACAAGTGGCAGCAGACACCAGGCTGAAATATGACAGTACTTCTACTGTAACCCTAAAATATTTCAGTTGCAAATCTCGTGTTTTATGACAAGCAGTTTACAGCGGGGGAGGAAGAAAAAAAAAAAAAAAAATCAATGGGCTCATTATTCAGGTGTTTCTTTACTTGCACCAAGGTAGTGGACAGTACAGTCATTTAATATTATGTGCTGAAAATTAAACAGCATTTTCAGGTGGGGAAATGGGAAGCACGGACTTTAAATCTTTAGCAGATGTTATTTAAATCTCAATTGTATTTCTAATGCTAAACATTCCATGTATTTTATGGGAGAAATTCCAAGATAATAAAGTTGCCATACACCAATTTCCACGAGGTAAATTTATACCTCCACGGTTTAATTATGTTACGACGACCAAAACATCAAAAAACCCTAATCTAACGGAATCTGTATCTGTTAAGTGAGTTCAAAGAAAGGACTGATACAACTCTCAGGTCTGTATATTTAAGGTTAGGCCACAGCCAAGAAGCTTCAAGGTCATAATAAAACCAGGAAGTAAGATGAAACTAGCCTCTGTCCAAAGCAGAGTGAACCTTTACATTGCAGTAACTAAATCATTAGTGTTTTTATTCAAACGATACACAAACTGAAGTGTAGAAAAAGACGTGTTGTACTTTTATGACAGTTAACTGTACAAGCTGGACTACTTCTTGGCCGGGAGCAGTAACTCCCTGTGGTATCCTGGCAGCGACGAGACTCCAGTTACCGCTGCCAACTAAGAAATGTTCCATTTTACCTTAGGGCAGAGATTAGCAGCTAGCCTGGGCTCCTACTCTTTGTGCTGAACTTAGTTAAGGGGCCACAAGGGGACGACTCTTATTTTCATCAAGACATGACATCATCTCTCAACAATTTTACTCTTAGAAAGATTAAGTAAAAAGCATAAATCCCAAAATGGTGTAGACACTCAAATTCAATACAGTAGCCATACATTTAGTTGCCACTTTATTCAGTGCATCTAGCTAAAAAAATGCAGTCCTGTACAACAGCAGCATGAAAAAACTACTAAATGAACATCTCACTACAATACAATTTAGCTGAAGCAAAAAGAGCAGAACCTAAATAAACACAGATTTGAATCAACACCTATTTAAAACCAAAGTGTTATTATACAGAATCCTTTATTAATATATATGTATATGGCAGAGCTGTAGAGCATAGAAGTGACTGCCCACTTTTACAGCTGTGGTTCTTTTATGTAAATTTGCCATTCATTTTCGCCATTGACGTTTCAGTTTTGAGCACGGAGCCAGGCTGACGAGCTACAAGATGAATCATGATCATAGAACATCTGATTAGCAGCAAAAAAAATATTGGAAAATGTAACTGAAGATAAAAGTACAAGACTGTGTGCATAACCATTTAAAGAGTTAAGAAACTATGCATCCTATAAATTAGTGTGGATGATTCCTTTCCAATGAGTTCATCATCTCCAAAAAACCGCAGCATGTTAGAAAGATAAATCATGGTTGCTCTGTGTTAAACGTCAAGTAATGCTAAACCATCCAATCATAGCCATTATGATTTTTCATGGTTGTGGTAAACACTTCTATGGTAACGAGCTCCACCAATCAGAGACGTCCACGTCAACTTTTTTTCAAACAGTTGATATCATACAGACCTCTACAGGATTATATAACATTGTTGCACAGTTAAATAGCTTGTGGTAAATCTACCTCGGATTATTAAAATATTATGGGTGATAAGGAAAATCTCTATTGAATAGGATTTTTTCATGTGGAACCACGCTGTTCAGTATTGCATTAGACGGCATTTGTTTGTGCTAGGTATACTGAATAAAGTGGCAGCTGAGTGTATGTCATGACCCAAATGATGCAAAGACTTCTTTAGCATTTCAGTCATGTGGCTGTGGCTGCACACAAGAAGCGCTGAGATGATCTGAATTAGGATGCAGAGCTGAATTAAGGGGAGAGGAGGCTTAGATCACAGCATGCACACTGGCACAGCAAACAGGCCGGTGCAGGTGTTACTTACTCCATCCTGGTGACCCAGATACAACACAACAGTCAGAGGAGAGGAAGGACTTGAGAGTGAGTGGAGGTGAACAGGCAGGGATATGAGAAAGACAAGAACATATGGGGGTGGTGTGGGGGGGCTGAAGCATCAGGCAACAATGCAAGGGACATTTTATGCCGTTTCACTTTAACTGTACAGAGCATTCAAATGGCCTGGCACAAGTTTGCAAGCAAATACTTACATGCACACTGGTAAACACATACTGTTAACCTTTGACAATGACGTTTCACATGGACATCAACATTCCAGTACTAACCTGTACAAGCCAACAGTCTGAATAAGAGGCTGCCACTTATACAGCATTTTCTGATTTCCTTAACCCAACCTTGTTCATACTCTGAACAAGCGGTAATGACATCTTAATATGTACATAACATCCTATTGGAATTTTTCTCTACATTACGGGACATTAAACTATTTTAGGTTAGGGAATGAAAACTGGCGGAACAATGAAGAAGTGTTTGTAATGACATGAGTCATAATCAGAGTAAAAGTGCTGTGAAATGTACACAGGAATATGAATGTAATGTTGTATTATGTAAACACCATAATCAAAATAAAGTCTTATTATGATTAAAGGTCATGAGTTGGAATACTGGCGTGAATGAAAACATAGTCACTGTGATATTTCTGTCTGTGATGTGTTGAAGATGTGTCTTTCCTGTGCACTGAGAGCAGTGCATTGATGTTGTGGCCATTTTTCAGATTTCAGTGTCAAAATCACCTTGGCACAAAAAAATCATTCACCCCTGGGAGCAATAGAGCTGAACTGATGTGATCTGAATGTGGGTTTTTATCAAGCCTCAAGTTATTGTTGATAAGCTTCTCACAGGTACCAAAACATGCACGCAAACAGCCCGGGGCAAAATCCTTTCAAAAAGCAATAAAATGCCTGTGTGGTCAGATTCTGTCCTTGTGGCTTATCAGAACAGGGAGTGGGTTCAATCTGCTGCTTCTCTTACCTCAAATATCTCAAAGCCATAGATGTCCAGCACACCCATGACCTTGTGTCGAGTTTTAGCTTGTGCCTGCAGGGAGACAATATTTTCAATATTAGCATTACAGAGCAACAGAGGTGTTCTGCCAGTTTGACTGGGCGTGGAAGGGTATAATAATTGATTCAATTGACTGGAATAAAAAATTAAGCTTTACTTACTTTAATGCTTTCATTGATCCTAGTAACTAGCCAACTAAACAGACGGCTGTAGAGATTTTTGGCAAGGGCATCTCTGGCGTAGTAGGCCTGTTAATAAATAACACATTGTTGTCGATATGGTGACGATGAAGCAACAGAAAATCCATGAATTCATTTCATTTCAATTCTGCAGAAGTGAAATATCTTTTGATAAAGTTTGATAAAGTCCTACGAGCCACTCTCTCAGTGTAAACTGCCGACACATACAGAACATTAAAGTACAGTACGCTAAAAAGGAAGCAATTTACACAGGCCGGCTGGTATCATTATTCTGAGGTCAGGTTAATTCTCGGAACCATTTTCTGTTTATGCTTTTGGACACAGCGACCTGTGTTTGGTGCGTCCATGTTATAGGAGCAGTGTGAGTGAACTCGCTAACCTCTAAAATATGACCTACATTTGAATTTCCAGGAGGAATATTGCTCATGTATAATGGAGAGGTTTTCACGTGGCATTGACTTGGATCAGAGTCGGCAGCCAGTGGAGCAAGTCAAGGGGAAGAAATGGCCCATTATCTTTTTATGAGAGTGTGTGTGTGTGTGTGTGTGTGTGTGTGTGTGTGAGTGTGTGTGTTAATGTCAATACAAGTAGGGCAGAAAATGCGTTGGTATAACTGGTGCAAGGCAGTTTTGAAACAGTTTCCTCTGACCTGGGCCACATTCAGGGTGGTTGAGACTTTCTCCATCTTAGCTTCTACTGTACGGTAGCTAAACGCCCTCTCGAGCACAGACTGTTCGATCCCCAGCAGCTCACACATCTCCTTCAAATCTGCAAAGTGGACAAGGAAAACACACAGCCCATGAACATAGAAGTTCTGCAAAGATCAGGGTGGTTTTACAAGAAGATGTCAACATGCTTGTCAGCCACTTCCTTCTCAGATAGGCTTATGCTCAGACATGCTTTTAAAGATTTAAATCACCACTTGCATAATCCACTGTAATTTGCTCGCCTGTTTTTGTTGAGGATGGTTATGTGATGTTTTACTGTTGCTATGTAGTCATTTCAAACCTCTTGCTGAAAACTTAACATCAAACATTCTCTTATTCTCTCCATCTTGTTTTATCTCACTTCATTTTTCTATATAAGAACATTTCAAGAGCAATATGAAAACATCAACCGTATCGTACTTCTATATGGCTCTGTATCATCAGAGCCATATAGAAGTACAGTCATGCCTGTAGATATGGAGGGGCTGCTTGAAAGTAGTTTAGCTCAGATAAGAGCAACATATTGCAATATGGTCGCAATAATCCAGTCTTCGATTCATATGAGGAAAAAACCATATGAATTGTTGTTTTAAGCAACAGTGGCAGTAAGATGGATCGTGCCTCTGTCATGGATGTACGACTGTTAATGAAATATTTGCCGAAAGAGAGCAGCTGCGGGAGTGAAAACACACACACGACTCTTGTCACGCAAACTTTTAAAACACAGATTAGAAACGGAGTAAAGCAGCCAACAGGGGGCAGTGCCTCAACATCAGAACAGCTGTGTATGTTTGAAAACACAAGAAAATAAATACGATTAATATATAATTATTTAATCATAACTCAACACCTGGGCAGCTCAGTTGTTCACAGCTAAACCATCCCGCAGAATCCATAAACTGGAGGTTTCAATAAAGTGAAAAAGGTTTAGAGATATTCGTAAAGAAACAAAATCTGCCTCCTGTTTGTTGAACTGTTAACCCACCGTTTTTGTCTTTGATGCGACTCTCATCTGTGCCGTTACAGCGCGACTCTGGCTTGAACTCTATGTTGCCGAGCTTCAGCACGGCGGCCACCAGCTCCAGCACCGACTGCACCTCGTCCTCCATGAAGCCCACGATCTGCATGGCATTCTGGGAGGGCGAACATGAGGAAAGAGAAAGATAGAGAGAGTCATAAATCCACTAATACATTTGTTACATTTGTATGGGAAATGTGGACGCCGCTGCAGATGGGGACTAAACTGTAAATGCAGTTTAATGTGACAGATTGTGTGACTGTGCAAACACCAGTTCACTAAGACTGAAATATTATTGTTGCAGCCCGTCAGCACTGGAAGAAGTGTTATCATGATATGAATGTGACAAATAAGTTTGTACATTTCCAACACAAATGTCTTCTGCAATCTTCTTTTAGACATCACCTCCAAACTGCAGACTGGAACAGAGACGATTGAGATCTGTTCAATTCAAAAAACTGTTTCAGCCAGATAACAGTGTTTTCAACCTTTAATTCTCCAAGACAGCTACTTAAGATGGAGATTTTTCTGAAGCTAGTTCAGGCCAAACTACTAATTCAGCATATCCAAAAAGAGAAAAAGAAGGAAGTCAGGAAAAAAACAGGAACATCTTTTTAACTGAGTAAGTAAATTGTAACCAAAGATATTCTCAGACACAAACTCTGGAGAATGTGGGCAAAATTAAGTCTGGACTATCTTCAGAGTTTGTCTGAATAACACAGCAGCAGATTCTCTGCTCAGATGTCCGGAGCGTTCAGGTGAGGGTGGTGCCCCAGGCAGAGACCTGGTATACCATGATAATTCTGCTGCAAAGATCACATGTTTTTGTTTACATCACATTGACACCGGCCCTCATCATCAAAAGTTCTGCTGACTTCTTTGTCTTCAAAGTGTATGACACCTGATCATCTAGAAATATTTGTATTCTTCTTTTTTGCATCCGCCGTGTGTTAGAAATTCCATCGACGCAGTTGCAACGCAGCAACTTGCTCGTGCTGAATCCTGCAGATGATCTCCTATTGTCTCATGGGCTCGCTTTCACGTTATCCAGTTTTTACTCGGGGGCTGGCAGTAGAAACTGCATTGAAAGTTCGGAGCCTCGTTTGCATTCTCACATACAGCCCCACCGAAGAATGTAGAAGGAAACAAAGTTGTTATAACCTTAGTGTTTGTTAAACTTAAGGCCACATGGACAAACTCATTGTTTAGTGCTGATGTGCTCTTGTGTTTCCGGTGGAGAAATGCAGCTGTATGGGAATATGGTTAAAGCAGGATGTGAACAGTGGAGTGTGACAGAATAGACTGAGAAGCCGAGAGTAGAGCACGCTGCAGCATGACTGATAACAATAGTGCCTCAGACACAACATCCTGTGTGTTCCCATCAGTAAGGACACAACGAAGTGCCGTTGCACATGCACACAAGATCCGGCAACATATTCAAATAAAAGGAAGCAGCTGCCTCTTCTCCTGGGGTTTTCCAAAGAGCTGCTGCTGCCACTGTGCTGGTTTACGAGTTGAACCGTTGTTGAAATGATTGTGTTAACTGGCACATGTGTGGAATTTCACGTGGTAATCAATAGAAACCTGGTGGGCTCAGGTTCAAGTTCACTTTCAAGTTCAGGCTCAGTTCAAAGTTCAACTGGTTTTGCAACATGTGGGCAGGAATCTGGAGTGGAACCTCTTCACAACTTTCATAATCTACACAAACTGTTGGTTTGTTATGTGCAGGAGATAAGACGTCCGACTGACTCTCCCCTTTGTACAGGATTTAGATCAACTTGGCATGATGCAACAACAGAAAGAACAGGCAAAAGAAATAAAAGGAGGCATTTTTTTTCCTTTTGTATTTCGAGAATAATGTGGAAATGCCAAGGATTAAGTCAATTATTAAGAATAAAATCAAACTAAATCAGAGAAAGATTTTTTTTGTATTCATGAATAAAGTTGCAATGTCGAGATTTAAGTCAAAATGTCGAGAATAAAGTTAAAAACTTTAGAATAAACTTGAATTGTTGAGGATAAACTCAACTAAAAAGTATTTTAGTACAATTTCAACAATTTATTTATACCCTAACCCAAACATTTTGGGGAGGCAGTCAGATGTGTTAACATCAGCAGTTTGATATATTCTTAAAAGTTTAACTTTGATCTGGAAATTTCATGTTTATTCTCAACATTTCAACTTTATTCTTAAAATGGAAATAAAGGAGTTCTCTTTTCATCTTTACTCATCTGAAGGAAAGTCATTGAAGTATGATGCCGCATGTGATGAGTTTGTTATGTGGGAGACCATTTGTGGTTTAGAATTTAAATCATAATCAAGACTGTATTAGAAAAGTTGAGATAATTTCTTCCAGTCCCCTAGGTTTTTTGGGGTAATCTTAAAAGTAAACCAAGATTACATCTGGATAATGACAGACATGATAAAGACAGACATGTGTGTGCACTACTCACTCTGACTGTCCGGAAGTTGGCCGAATCGTCCAGCCCGTTGACCGCAGCCGAGTCCAGACTCAGGTAGTTGTACTTGCTGAAGTCCCGGTGCAGCTTCAGCTTCTCTGTGACACACAAACCATGCGGTTGCTATTCAAAGTGTGCTCATTTCAAGCTACTTGTCAAAAGACAAATGAGGCCTGATTTCCATTAAATGCAAGTTACACACATGCACTCACACCTGGGAGGTGCCTGACAAATAAAAAACAGTCTTCTAATAATGCTTGTGCTGCACTGAACTTGATGGTGCAAAATTCAAATGGGGGACACCACACAACACAAATTCATCCGACCTACAGGCTCCAAACAGGACTTCCACACATCGAGTTGCTGCTGTGAACATTATTCTGGGAGATCAAATAGCCCTCTTAAAAGCTCTCCTATCTTGTAGCAAAGAAATCTATTCCTCTCATGGGCGCATGTGTCAGATTTCATTAGCTTTCGCATTAACTACAGCTAAATCAAGCCCCTGTGATGTGTGCGCTCTGAAGTCAATGACCATTATATTGTTCTCCTGTGTTCAGGACATAAAACAATGCCCTCCGTCCGCAGAAAAGCAAATAGAGGGAGCAGGTTTTTCGCTCTTTGTTCTCTGTAGTGTTTGTACGGCAGGAAGGCTGGGTCATTAATGTATAAGCCATGTGTTTGTGCAGCTGAAACCCTGCTGAAAAATGTATTGCATAAGATTTTAACTGAAGGACTGGAATGCTGGTGACTCCAGATAACAGGAAAGATGTATTTGAAAGGGTGATATTCAAACTCAAGAAATTTGGGAACACAAACTCCATGATCATGTTTTCCATCCCAGTCTGGTGGTTGATGATTAAATCTAAACAATGTGGCAGAAGGTCCAACAATGGTTTAATTTCCTCAGGACAAAACTGCCCACAGGCCACCGCAAAGTTTGATTCATTACTTCCTCTGAGCAGAGATGTGTGTATACAGAGCTCCGCAATTATTCTCAAAAAACAGGCTAAAAATATGACAACCCTAGTTTGAGATGTGATGTGATAAGAAAAGTAAATTTTAGTTTCAGCTTTACCAATTTAAACTGCACTTCCTCAAAAAACCCTAAAAGCTTTATGCTACATCCCAAACTACAACATCGAAAAATACACAGCGATTCCATTGGAGGCTACATCCAGATTACAGTAAAATCACTGTAAAATGCAGAATTTAACTGCACAACAGCTGTTGGCAAAGACAACAGAGTCAGCAACACTTGTATTGATTATCCATCTCAAATCCTACACTGGTAGTAAAGGCCAATGCTGGTTGTTTTTTCTACCGGAGTGGGGTCATGTGATAGGAGGCTGACGAATCAGCAAAGGCTACATTGTGACAGAAAAGACCCAATCAGCAGCTGCTGTGTCTGCGTCACAACAAACAGCTCAGTTTCAGTTTTTGCTGCTCTGATCCTCTGGAGTCGTGTGGACGCCAGGCGTATCTGCAGCAGAGTTTATCAAAGATAAATATAGCAGTGTGGATGTAGCCTAAATCCCATTTTCAGCATTTGTGCGACGTACTGAGTGAGTCGTCGGAGGCTCCAGACAAGAGCTGATAAAAGATGTGGAAGTTCCTCTCTCCTCTTGGCTGTTTCACCACACGGGACTTCTCCAGCAGATCTAAAAGAGTAAAGAACAAACAAAAGGGAACGATGACAAATGATGATAAAAGTCACTTCCTAACAATAGTTTTAGGAGGAAGTATTTCACAGAGGTGTCCTGGGGTGGTAAATATGGGGCTGACCTGCCAGTATAAGAGTGGCCTCGCCTGCATCTATGGAGCTCAACTGGGTTTCAATGATGTGTTCAAGTTGCTATGGTGACCAGGCCGTTGTTGTGTGTATAAACACCACAGGAAGTGCACAGAGAATAAACCACACAAGGATACCAAGCGTCAGCCCTTTTCTCCCGGGCTACTGACCAAGTGCAACAGTACCTGATTAAAAGGGGACCCATCATCCACTCACCGCATTAGGCTGAGTATGATTTAATTAAAGACCTACTGCAGAGCTCTGCAGCATCTGAGGCCACTTGAGATCTTCACTGCCAGCCTGACTGGATAATAGCATTTCAGTTTGTCTGGTTTGAAACCGTCTTATTTTGGGAGACTTTGTAGTCAAAGCGAACATTTTAAGAGGAATATCCACATGAACTAGCATTAAAACCACGATCCCATTCCAAGCCAGTTGTCAATCTTTCGACTGACTCAGCGATGGGTGGGTGCTGAGAGGACAGGAGCACTTCACAGTATCTGTGGATACACTGCAAGCATCTAACTACAGGGCCCTCGACAGAGACCTGAGGTTGTCAGAGGTAGAGGTGGATTAATGTGAATCTGTGACACCCACTGGTCATGAATCACAGAAGTGGCTCTATAAGAGCAAACACATCAATAATACAACATCCATGACTGAGTGGCTGACAGCAGTGGTGCAGAGCTGTGATCAAAGACTCCGAGGGAAAGGGAAAATACCTCTGAGGAACTATTTCCTTTTATCTCATTCTTTTCCTGCATGTAGATACTTTGTGTTTTGACACCATTCTGTCAAAAACCCAAGGGGGAAGGCGATGAAGAGAGTAAGATTATTGTCCTCCTAAAGGGGCCTAAGTAACATTACACCTCAGGTCCAACCACACCATTCAGTCATCTTGCATTTGCTTCTTCGGGGCCACACTTTTTAGATGGGAAACATCTAAAAACAGCATTTGCTGTGTGCTGCTCGGTTCACAACATGCTCTCTCTGCTTTAGATAAGCAAACACACACATTCAAGTGTCAATGTGGGGACAATATCCTGTTGTGTTTAGACTAAAAAGCTTTGGCTATGAGGCTGCCAAAAATGTCTTATAGTTACCAGAGCTACTGAGACTAAGTTTTAGAGACGTGTTTTGTTGTCGGATGGTCTGAGGACTCTGAGGATGTACCGCTAGGATGGAAATAATGAGCTGAGAAGTGAGGAGGAATCCATCCAGGACTGCCCTGCAAAGACATCCTCATCCATCTGTCCATCCAGCCAGCTCTGTGTGAGGCAGTCACATGATGCTGCTTCTTCTTCTTCACAGTCAGTCCCTTGTGTCGGGCTGACTCAGGCCAACTCACAGAGGTTTATTTGTGTCGTGGCCATCAGCTCCTCTCTTTGTTTCTGTGACCTCTGGCGGAGGAGCCAGCACAGACACAACAATGTGAACAGAGGCGAGATCAAACCAAAACAGAGAAAAGAGCTGGGGAGAGGGGCCTCAGGTTCAGGCTGAGAATGTGAAATCTGGTTTTAATCAAGGAAATAAAATCAGTCTTAAGGGCTTTAATAAAACAAAGAACTGTACCCCATCAGTTTGAAAACGTCTTTGAAAGAGTGTGTGCTTATTATCTTCAGTATCATAATTAAATATGTACTTTCCTATAAAGTCCCACTCTATACTGGAGATGATTCCTTCCTCTGACAGAGATTTATCCTTTTTTCACTCTGTTGAGAAGTATTTTAGGGGAAGTTCCTGACTTCCTTTCTTGGGACAGAGACATCATACGATGTACAAATTGTCAAATAAACCCCTATTATAATGTGTGGTTTGTATTTTTTACGCTGCATTTAAAATTGATTTGACAATGAATTCACAACAGAGCTTAACAACACAACTGAAAATACTTTTAAAGTGTACTATGCTTCTTGCACAAAAAGAGAATTATGCAACAAATTGATAGAATATTGTCTTTATTCTCATTGCAATGACACATGCAGATTATTGTATACTGTAGTACGTATATGGTGTCAGTGTACTTTTATGTGACAAGCCATCTTCAGACTGGGACACCTGGATGTTTAACTAAATTAACTGTGTTCCTGGGAGACAGCATAATTATCAGGTTGCTGAAGGACGCGTCAAAGCAAAATTATAAAGATATGATAAGGATTAAGCAGGATGTCCTGTAAGGCGTGTACCATATACCTGCATTTACTCGAAAATTGATTATCCTTTTTTTTTTAAGGCCTTTTCATTTCAATACTCACAGTTGCTGATGACTCCACCCAGAGGATCTCCCTTGAAGTCAAACTCAATGTCCATGTACTTCCCCTGTGGATCAGAGCACAGGAGTTACAGCTGAAATTACACTGTATTTAATTCAAATCTCTCTTTTCACCAGTGTCTTTGCTTTGAAAACACTTTGTGAGTGAGCTTACGGCTATGTGCATTAAAGAGCATGACAATGAACTGGGTCTCAAACACAGCTCATGAGTTCTGTTCTGTTCGCAGTGACGGCCGCTGCACAAACCCGTTCATGTTACAGCTACAGCACGTGTTGCTGGTCATAAGCACAACTGCCTCTGAGGAGGGACGGCCCCCTCCTGCCCAATTTCTTTCTACTAGAGGCCTAAAACCAAACATGTCAGGCCCCCTCCCCTCGTTCTGTCTGAAATTTGAAAGTTTAAACAGAGAGCCCTGTGTGTTTGATTTCTCCCCCCCCCTCATCTGAAATATTAATAGCAGACGGGTCCTCAGAACAGGCCAAGCTCTTCTGGTGAGTGGGCTCCAGCCAAACTCAATAAGCCCGCTGCACTCAGCAAAATGAAGTGACAGTTTGATTTAGAGTTTTCTGATAAACTGATGGAGCACTGATGAACTGGTGTCTGGTGGGAAGGCCAGAGATCCTTGTCTGGAGGTTTATGCCAAGGTTACATAAATATAAACAGATCAGGAGCTTAATCCTTTATAATACTTCCTCTTACAACTGCACGTCCGAGCGTTGGCATGTGTGTGTACGTGCCAGTGTAGGTAGAAAATTGAATGTAGTGGAACATCTAAAATTAGGGCAGGAAAAGAACATTGGCAGTCAGCCTCTGAGCTGCTACTGACTGGAATAACCAGTTACAATTATTGTGTTAGCATGAGACATTCAGACAAAACAAACCTACAGTCTTGTGGCATTACATCATTGATCAGCTGGAAGTATTGGTAGATTAAAAAAGAACTTTAACACAACTGTGATATGTGATGCAATATCATGTCATGAGGGCGGAAACTGAAGCGGTCGGCTGCTGCTGCATTCAGGCCTCCTTCAAAATACTGATCCAATGAGAAAATCCCCCCTTTCGAAAACAGAACTACAACAACTCAGCCTTTCATTCTGCCACTGTCCGGACATTAACCCTTTTTCTGGATTTGTGTCTGTTTTCGTGCGTTTGCATCTCTGTCCTCTGTAAAGATTAGCGTTAGATTCCTTCGGCTTCCAGCAGGTGAGTGCAATCCATCAATACAGAAAAAAGAGAAATTAACTTGTACCAAGACGTAATTTGTAGTCTACATGGGACAAACTGACAGTCCAATCACACAGTTCATGGACAGCAGTGTGGGTCAGAGTACAGAGTATTTACAGAGGCCATTTAACATGTGTGAGTGGAATACATGAAGTCATAGAGTGCCTGCTGTAACTGAGGCAGTGTGAGGGCTGTGATACTGCACAGATCCAATAACTGCCTTCAAATTACATTAGAAAGGTAGATGGACATGCACCTAACAAAAGCCCCCCAAAATTAAGACTGACGCATGATGATGATGTTATTTCCTGTTTTGCATCATTTACAGAGGGTATGTGTCCACAGGAATTATACTTCATGTGAGATTCAAACCAGTTGATATGTCTCGTCATATGTAACAGCAGCACTTGTGTCGAAGTTTAACCAAATTAATTTAAAAAAAATGTGTAGTGATCTTTTGACATTGTTTGTGTCTTTTTGTATAATTTTGTTATTGTACTCATTTAGTTTGTTTCAGTTCTTTAAATTTGTAAAGAAGTGGACATTAAGACTCGATTCTCTATGACCTCTGTGCTTTAGTTAGAAAACATAAAAAAGGGGTGTGGTCCTGCTCAGCCAAACTGATGCAAGAATACGAATGTTGGAGTAATGGTGTAGAAATTATGAAAAGAAACAGATGAGGACAGAAACCCAGTGGGACCCATTTTGAAAGCAAAACACAATGCCACATAAAATGAAATATACAAACAGTGCATGTTAATTATCTACCCACATAAAATTCACATATTTTGTTGATACCTCTGCAGAGGATACTTACAAATCTGGATGAGTTATCATTCCTCACAGTTTTTGCATTCCCAAACGCTGTAAGAAGAGAAAAACAATCAAGACATGAAGAAAACATTGCAAACATTCAGGCTCATCCATCAAGAACACATTTATAGCCAATACATTGAATACAGACCAAAGCCTGTTTACAAAGCATCCAAATCTTGTTAAATGATCCTCACCACTGTACCCTCCCTCCAGCTAGCTGTCAATCATATTGGGGCTTGATGTCAAGGCCATTTGTACTGATGAGGCCCCATAATTCTGTATGGATTAACCAAAGTACCAGGAGCTTCCCAGGCTTAGGAAGGACTAAACCTTACTGTCACGCCACATTCAAATAGGAAAGTGCTTCAATTTGGGCCAGTGCTTAAAAATAAACAATAATAAACATGGTGTTCAGACAACGTGTTGTAGTGTCAAGTTTTGTGCGTAAGGACGGCAAATGTTTAACAGGCGTGCAAGCATTTATACACTAGGCCTTGTGTGAGAGTCCTCTATAACAGTATTTTTAAATCCAGGGCACATGCTTCAAACCAAATTTCTACATTAAAACGATATTAATGTGTCATGCATCGCCACGCTATTAGCCTAACTGCTTAATTGCTGATAACAGTTGATTAATGCGTAGGTTTAATGTGAACGTGTGGGCCGCTACTCTGTTACAAAAGCAGCTGGGGGGCAAGGAGGACGGAGAATAATAGAGCCAGAGAAAAGATAAAATGCAAAAGAGAAATAGGGAAAGAGAGCAAGCAGTGAAATGAAACGGAGGGTGAAGAGAATGAAACCAATAAAGATTCTGCAAGAGAGCGAACGAGAAAGAAAGAGTAAGCATGACACGGATGCATAGCAGGATAATGTGCTCGCCTCCTTTTTAGCATTAGGGCAATTAGATAGGCAGAAGTTAAACTGTTACAGATGTGTCAGGTTTCTGCAGGGACTCAACCAGGGCAGGCAGCTTCATCATTCCCGGGCATTTCCTGTCCACTGCCCCCAATTAAAATACAGCTGTTACTGTGCCAGCATTGAGAAGTGTGTGTGTGTGTGTGTGTGTGTGTGCAAACAGGGGGTTAGCTGAGGAAATAAAGTGTCCCACAGTATTTACAGGTTCCTCATCTGTGACAGATTTAGCCATCGAAATCAAGACCAAATTTAGGTCTTCTTGTTTAGCATCGTAATGCGTTTGGATAACAAATGTGTATATTTCTGAGCCTCTGCCAAGTTGGGATCTCTCCTCTTTAAGCTCATCTTTGTTTTACTGTCTGGATATGTCAAAATTCAAATAAGGTTCAAGTTCTGTAAAAAACTTTACAGTGTCAAAGAGGAAACGACATTTTTAGAAAGTTTGTAATTAAAGTTTCTATTCATTAAAAAAAATTAATTGCCGTGCGATTATTACTCATGATGTAAACTGTTCTGCATATTTGTTCAGACAATACAGACATTCTGCTACCAATGTTGCATCATAAATATCCTCCCTAAAAACTCAGTAAAATATATATAACATTAAAAAACCTTTACATTTCTGCACCAGAGGCTTCTGAAAACATTTCCTGCTTATTTATTTAGCAGCTATATCTCAAAGTTTAGGGATTATTAGTGTTGGATAGCCAGTTATAAGTTTTACAGAGTTTAACAATGATAACATGTATTTTACTGGTCTTTAAACTTTCTAAACTAAACAAAAATATATCACAGAACTCTAAATCAACAGCAAACTGGAGCACATCAGCTGGAAACAGGTCGAGTAGGCTGCAAATATACAGTGATTGTTTTCCAAATTTTGGCTGAAGGCTGCCTTTGAAGGAATCGGGTGCATGATGCTTCACTCACCCTCCAGCACGGGATTGGACTGCAGCAGCTGTTCCTTGACCTTGTTCACCTCCTGGCCCTTCCCACACACCGCTGCCACATATGACATCACCAGCTTACTGGCCTCTGGAACACACACACAGACATTAGGTTAATGTCTTTATTAGACATGACTGAAGAGCACGTTCAACCATTTCACCATACACTATAAAATCCCCCTTACATCATCTGACACCCATCAGGACAGGGTGTGATCAGTCATGAGTCTGGGATACAGCATAGAAGAGTGGGACCCATTACAAAGATGCACTTTTGTTTAATTACATGACCATTATTGCATCAGGTTGTCATCATTCAAACTACTGATTTCGTCTGGAACCAAAGGGACGTAGTGAAGAAAGAGATTATCCCTGTTTATCCACTTCTCATGTCAGGAACTGATTGAAGATGCTCTGACACTGTGCTCTGAGTGAAGCATGTTCCCTAAAATGATTTTCTTCTGCGTTGAGGAACATGACACAAGGCTAAAGAAGCATCGGCTGCTGTCTGGAACAAGTGACCTGCCTTGTAGGATAACTGCTGGCAACAGTGTCATCTCTCCAGTCCAGTGAAATGACAGTGACCCAGAACTGATGATGTTTGTGGTGGTGCCAAGGGAGGATAGAAAGAGCTTGACAGCAGTTGTTGGTACAAACTGCTGATGAGCCTGGCAAACAAACATGCTCATACATTTAGCTCAGGTAACAAAGACTGTTGCTCCACCATCTAGGGGAGCAACAGTCTTTGTTGTGTAACAAGGTATGCATGACGTTACCTGCAGATTTTTATCACACAGGCTAGAAAAATAAACTTCCTTAGTCGCTTTTGGAACTTTGTTATGTCTCCTTTACACTTCAGTCGCATCTGATATTTTGTCAGAGAAGCAACATCAAGGCAGAGGCACGAGAAAGCTCCCAGCCAGACATGAACGTCAGTGACCCATATCGATGGGGTATTTGTGATGGCTGTATTCCACTACAAAGCTTCAGGGCTGATGAGATTACTGAAATCCAAATTCTTCTCCTCAACTTTACTGAGCAGCTTCTTGGAGTGGAGTCGTTTAATTTCCATGAGAGGTTGAGAACACTCAAATCAAAGGCGAGTTCATTATGCAAAACATGATCTGTCACCTTGTACTTTCCCATTGCATTTGTCCCAGGTCTGTTTTATTAGCATATCTCTCTTTTCACTCTGGAAATTATTCTTTTATTATCATGAATAACAGAGAGTTGGCAGTGGCTCTGTTTAAAATGACTGTGTGGCTTCATGGTTCTGGATGTTTGCAGCCAAATTCATGTTGTTGATTCTGGGCTTCAGCCAGAGATCAATGTAACAATAATCCAAAACTATTAACAGTTTCAAAACAGAAAGTCCCATGATCAATACAGGCATTAATGAGGGATCGCAGCTGCAGCACATCTAGGCTGGGTGACAAATTCTTATTAAATTAAGCTTGCTTGATATTATTATTAACTTGTCTCAGATAAATATGCCTATTTTACTCATAAATATGGATTCACCAAAGACTATTATACAGCTACCGCAACATTTAAGAACCATCAAATCAAATGATTATGGCAAACAAAAAAATAAAAAAAGCATGTTTTAACTTGGTGCCATATAATATTCAGGGTTTGAGTAAATATTTAAGCCTAGAAATAATGTGGTGGAGATAACGGTTACTGCTGATATAATAATTCTTCTCACATTGCCTAACCCCTGATTAAAGCTAGATGGTGAGTTTTAATGTCAACCAAAAGGACAGTGTGGTTGTGGATCATTCCCACACTTCAGTCAAACACATGCAAGTGTAGCTGTGGCAGATTGCAATTTGCTGACAGTGAAAGCCCCTCAGACATCAAGTCTACACACTAATGCAGCGCTGTAAATGCTTTTGGAGATAAAAGCAAACATTCGTTTAATAGTTTCTAAAGCAGAAATGCTGTGAGCCAGTAGCTGTAATAGGAAAAATGACCTCAAGATTTACAATTACAAGTGTGAATATATTTTATGAGTAGACTGGGACGACATACTTTCCCCACAGTTTATGCTAAGCCAACTCAATATGGCTTTTACCTGCATTACAGTGCTGCCAACAGAGACCTGTGATATGGCACTGCCAGCAGAGAGCAGGAAATTCCATTCCCCTTGGATTTCTGTAAGGTATGTGAATCTGCTCCAGTACATGGCCGCACTATTATAAAACCGAAAAAGAAATAAAAACGACCATGGGTGTAAACGCAGCGGCCTCAAACACTGGCTGTGTAGTATTTCCAGTCAAGACGATTTTTAAGTTTCCCCAACTGGTTCATTTGGATGTTGACTGTAGACTAGGAGTGTCGTCAAACGAGAACACCATCTGTCTGCTGCTCGTCTACTTTGATTTGTCTGCCTCCATCATTTTACACACACTGCATGTACAGGTCAGCGCATGGTTACAGTCACATTTCATGTACTAACATGATGTTTGATCTAATCTTAAACTGCACTGTGACTTTATACATAACAACCCTAATCTTACAGACTATAAAGCACGACAAACAAAAAGAGATGAGTAGATAAAATGGCACATTTTAACTCTTCAAGGGACCTATTGACTAAGGGACCCCTTTACCTTTAAAAAATGAAGAATTGATTGTGTACATACTTGGAACAGATGTGTTACTCATATCAAGATCTCTAGGTAAACTAGTGCAGTGCCTGTTCTAAACCTGCCTGTTTGGAATGGGCTGTTTGCTTGGCCTGTAGTGACGCTGGTTGCAGCCTTGCTTCTTTCTGAAACTGATAAAGTGACCTGAAGTACTTCAGCCACGAGAACCAGTTGTTGTCAGACGCTGTTGTTATTATTGTAATGTCACTTGTGTTGATGGGTCCTTGTCGCCTGTTTATTCAAAGTTTATTAATATTGAACATTTCTATATCACGCCAAATTTCACACTGCACTTTCCTGGGTCCTTAACAATTTGCATGGAGAGTGTGAAGCTGATGAGATGGAACCGTTCTCTAGATGCACTTTCGACATAAACAGATTTATAGAATTATTAGATAGATACGATAGATGGATGAATAGATGATTTTACCAAAGAGATCTAATGCAAAATGTGAAGGGGGCTGTTGGAAAGGAGTGTAAAATGCTTGACACTGCGAGTGGGATTTCCCCTGAAATGAAAAGACTTATAATAAATGAAAAAGAGAGAGGATTTGGCCTCTTACCGGTTTTCCCCGCCCCACTCTCTCCTGTGATGAGGATGCACTGGTCCTTGTCCTGGTCCCTCAGTGAACGATAGGCCTCATCTGCCAAAGCATAGCTGGAAGACAAGAGGCAACAAAGGCATGAGCTCTCATATTATAATTAATTGTCCCTCGGCTTGCATTATCCACTTGTTTTTAAGGATTCTTCAGTAATATTGCAGGGAGATGGAGTGGGGTAAAATAAGTTCAGAGAAATAGTGCATTTCTCTGTCAGGCTGCATGGGTCTAGTCTAATCAACAGCATGTGGCTTTATTGGAAATGAGGTCACATCTGCAGGACAGCCGCAGGATTGGAGTGATTCAGCTTTATTTAGTAACACTGGCTGGTTTATGTTTTGGGATTTGGCTTTGATATTTGACCATTTCCTGTTCCCTTTCCCAAACTTACTACTGCACGGATGCTGCTGTTTAAAAGTCAAAAAAAGGAAGAGATAGTTTTAACTGTCCAATAATCACTTTACTATAAAAACAGTTAATAGGAAATTAAATCTATTTTAAACAAACTCTGGCAGTTGTTTAAACAAAGCATGTTGGTCAATGAGAGAGTAAAAAAACCCTGAATGATAGAAGGGTAGCGCCAATTATGAAATTAAGCCTATTGTCACACATTCCAGGACAGCGATACAATGGAAAAGTGGGACTGATTGTTGCGATTTCACCGCCCACCAAATTCCATGACTCTGTTCTCTTTATGCAGACAGTCCTGTATGATGGTTTGAGAGTAGGGTGTGGATCGTGTGAGGGCCATTTCACAATGACAACCTTGTTCTCTGTTATTTCAATGAGATACACCCACAAGGAAGAAACACTAATGGGTGAGGCAGAGGCTATTGCTTTTTACAGCTTCTATTTGGCAAACAAACAGTTGTGCACGGTGCTGTGGGAACGTGTTCCAACGTTCTCCTCCAGCAGGACACAAGGCTACAAATTAGCTTGGTCTTCCGTACCCCCCTCCGTACCTTGGCTTTCGTTCCTCTGGAATTTTTTCCAATGCCACGTCTGGTAATGGCAGTGATTAAGGGGGGAAATGTTGCATGTAGTTCCCCCTTTTTTTGCCTCATGAGTTGCCCAAAATGTGCTGAGAAGTTTTGTGAGGTGGTACACTGGATATTGAATATTGAACCAATATTCAATATCAGGACCTCCATGATTAACTCTTGGAGAATGTCTGTAATGATGAACTGTTATGGGAGGGGTGGTAGGGTGAAAATGTAATGGGTCAATTTAAAGCTCACGTCTAAAGGATATATCCACCCTGCTGACGTGCCTCTGAGAAATATGATGAATCACTGGGAGATCTACATGTGTGTTAAATAGCAATTCAACTCAATGACAGTAGCTTTGGAAACCCTTAAGGGTTTAATCTCCCTCTTAAATATCACCCTAAGATGAGTGTCAGTAAGTCTTATGTCTTATGTCCCCTGGGTCTAAGTAATATATAGTATTTATAAGCAATAAGTGAGACAAGAATGCAGGGGGGGTGTCTAACAATCACAGATGCTGACAGGGATTTCCATACAGCTCCACCAAGCTTGTTCTGAAGTGGAAAATCTAAGTCGGAGCGTGTGAGGTTTCATTTACTTGAAAAGGTAATGACTCAAACTGCAAACTGCACATTAAAATGTAGAGTGGCAGCACCCAGCAGGCTATAAAACTGGTTCGACAGGGTTCAAAGTGAAATCTAATGAGGGATGTTCAGACTGGAGTACATGCTGAAGGCTTATGCGGCATCATTCTTTAATTTCTTCATTATCTACACCATCTTCCACAAATGCACCAAGATGTGGAAAAACAGAAAGTTAAAAAAAAGGTCTAAAAATGCCCAAATCTAATTTTGGGCACAGTATTAGTGGAGTCAGTGTGGCGAGGACCAGGAGTGGGAGCATATAATCACATGCTGAACTAACACTGACCTCCAATTTGAAAAGTAGCTGATTGCTTGCAAGAAGCCATGACAGAGAGAGGGCAGAGATGGACAGCCAGATGAATGAATTCCAGGCCGCAATACAAAGTTGGAGCTCAGGCAGGCTAATGGAGCTTAGGGTTCTGCACCATCACACATTGTTTGGGACTGGAGCCAGCGCAGCCCCGCGGTCAGTACCCTGAAGTGAAGGGGTACACTAATGCAGCATTACGCTCTATAAAAATGCCTGTGAGGGGAGCTAGTGTTGAGATTTAGAGGTTTTCTTAATTGCGGAATATTATAGGACTGTGAAGAGCTCTCGTGCAGATATGTCATGAATTACATGACGTTTCTGACTATTCCTCTACCAAGTCAAAAAAATAAGCATTGCCCCAACAAAATGCAGGCATGAGAGCTGCAAACCATTGTTAACATTGATGTTAACACAGCAGATGCAGAACATGCTAAAAAAATAAACGAATAAAACTCAAATGTTTATGAGGAATGAATGAAAGTTTATTGGGTCTCAAGGAAACACAGTGAGGGCTTTTGAGAAATGCTGAATGGAAAACTTATTTGTGAAAAATCTTTCCAGAAAAACTTTAATGTTTCATTTTCGGTGCCATCAACTGGCTGCACCAACTTGCTTTCTGTCCAACCGAGCACATGCCATACTACCGTCCCGAAATCTCTGATCAGGGCTGAACCCTCTCCCACACTTGGGACATTACGTCACTGCTGAAAGGGGCAGAGCAGCGCAGATGTCTGCTTTGTGAAAACACTCCTGTTCCCTGACCTGATCCTGACAATGAGCAAAACATCACACAATTATCTCGCCACCCCCCAGAGGAGGCCGGCTTGGGGACTGTACCAGGGGAGGGCAAGGGGGGTGGAAAATAGGAGTGGGAGGTCCTTTTACCCACACACACACACAAGAGAGCTAGCCTTATGAATGGGGGTTAGCAGAAGCAAGAGGCCACAGCTACCACTGTGCAAGCGCAGATGACATACATGTTAAATTAAGAAGAAAAGTCACAATCTCAAATTTAATCTGTATTTTTACTCCAACTCTGTACACAAATGCAGGAAACGACAAGGTAGACTTAGAAATAAAGACCGCCCGTGTGGTGACAGCATTAGGAGCATGAAAGCATGTGTGAACAGAAACTGGCCACGGCACTTCACAAATGTGGAAGTCAAATTGATGTGGAAGGGGCAAGGTCACCATCAAAGCCAGAGGAAGCAGTGAAGTGAGGCACCAAAATCCCATAGGCCTCCGTGATCAGCGTGTCGCGCTGTGTGTGTGTGTGTGAGGGTTAGGCTGGGATATGGCCTTGGACCATAACTGCTTGGCACCTCCCCTTCACATCTGCCTGCAGGCTGTAATTTGGATGTGCACGTGGCAGCGGTGAACACAAAGCCACACTGGCATGAGGTAAGCGGTAGAAAATAGTCTAGTCAGTTCTTTTTACTACCGACCACTGGTAACTGGGGCACAGGAGGGGATGATGGGCCTGCAGTGTGTGACCTGAATCTTAAAACTGTGGATTACTTCTCGGGCAGATTCACTCTTTAAAGTGGTGATTTGTAGATGATAATGAAGCTGTGATGTATGGGTTTGGAGCGATGCCCACCCGGCTACTGGCAGATGACAGGCCTTATTCAAACGAAATGGATAAGTCCAGTTCACTACTCTGATGCTAAATTCAGCTTATGTTTCTGTTACGCCTGTGTATGCATTGAGGAGCCTTACAGTAGCCTGTGATCTCAGTGTGATCTGGCTCCTACAAAGGCCTCAGGAAATCCGCCTGGCTCTGATGGAGCAGCCGAGGAAGCAGCGTTTTCCTGGTGGCTTATGACCAGGTGGAAGAGTGGGTGGCTTGTGCATGGAACACACACACGCTTTAAGTGCGAGATATTCAGGCATTTTTCAGAGATTGATGATGAATTTGCTGATGTGGGTGGAAGCAGTGAGCGGATACACATAGACACAAAAGAGGGTTGTGACAGATGTGGCCCATGTGTGTACTGGTTTAGACAACGTGTTGCTGTAAGACGTGTTAAGGAGAAGAGCAGCGCCACAAATGATACACAAGACCATGATCAACATCTTATATTCAACAGATTCTCAATGTGCAACTTACAAGGTGCAATGAAGACTGCCTCTAAATCTCAAAATTAAAAGCTTGAAGTAAAAAGCTGCTACCACACATCTCTAATTTATTCGACACTCACTAGAGGTTGTCTGAAAACTCTGTTAAATTGCTCATTGATACTCCCCAACGCATACATCAAACTGTGAGGGGGGTCCAAGGCTTTAATTTACTTTACTGCACAGCAATTTAGTGTTCCACAGCAGGGGAAAACACAGGTCCAAGTTGTTTGTGTGATCCTTGCAAAAGCAGGAAATGTGCATGCTGAGTAAGGTAGCGAAAGATCCTCAAAGCAGGAGTTCTCAAACAAAGACCCTTCAGTACCTCTTTAAGCAAGTTCATGTGAATCCCTATTTGGAATCATTATAAAAAATAAAAAATAAATATATATATATATATATATAAAAAATGGGGGCTAAAGGAGTTGACCAGATTGTCTGAGTCACGCTATTTCATACAATGCATACAAATATAAATGCCATGGATGATAACGTGCCTCCTTGTGTCTTTGGCTATGGGACAAAGAAAATGCACCTCAGGAAAAGAAAAATATAGCCACAAGTACAAAGCCACAGACAAGATGATGGAAACAGAAGAGCAAGATGTCTTTTTATAGCAGCTTAAGCACCAACTCCAAGATCTGAGGACTTCCTCTCGTCCTGCTCTCCAGGTCTCAGCCTTCCACTGCAGCAAGGTTTCTGGTTAATTCATGCTCACAAAGGCAGAGCTGTGTACAACACATCTTCTCACTGGGGCACAACTGACCTAGAATGAGTGCTCAAGATAGGTACAAAAAATAAGTCTCCATTGAAGGCCTTAGATTCTAATGACTGATACCAATCTTTTGATATCTACCACAAACCTGACTGCAATAGAAGATTGTGGATGATTGCTAGTCTGTCTAACTCATCTATCTGCCCCATAAAGATTTGCAGTTTGAATTGACAGATTGGTCATTGGACGCCAACTGTGATGTTGACACAACGGCTTTCCCTTTCAT